CAACTCAGTCTGCGAGGCCTTAACTATGCAGTTCCAATTAACAATCATGGAAATTTCACAGTTTAAATACCCATTTATCAAACTGTTACTATACTATGCATTCCATTGTAATGACATTTTTCAGCACCTTGTCAAATGCATTACATCTGATTTCAATAAAATAACATATTGCAATACAGAGTAGATATATGATCAGAACTGGGTTAAGTTTTTGCAGCTCCTCATTGATGACATAGTTCTGGTGACACTAATGATCACATACTGCTGAGGATCCTGAGTTAATCTAATAAAGCTCAGGAATCTTGTAAATATAGTAGGACATTAGGGCCCTATACTCCTGCCAATTTAGATGAATATCTCCCACTGACTTCAAGGGTCTTTGGACCATATAGTGTGAAATTCTGGACTCGCTGAAGCAAATGACAACATTCCCATTGAGTTCAGTGGGGCCAGAATTTCACCTACAGTAAATGTTTTCACTTTCTATTTAAACAGATGATTTTTTCTGATGACATTTTCAGTTATACATTCCATCTAGTCATATGTTACTTTCTCTGAGAGTCAACCTTACCTGGGACCAATTAATTATGAACTCACGTTAGTGACTCCATCATTAAAAGTGTGAAAAATGTATCCTGTAAGCCCATCTTTAACCTCCTACCATTGTAATAAAAAACAAAAAAATACAACCCTCCTTTCCTCATAAATTTGTCATGCATAGTCTTTGTCCAAAGAAGAATATTTAGGAAAATCTAAAGTTAATTGGACAGCTGTTTCATTCGATCACAGGTACTTGAAGAAGTGATGTGTTTTCAATATTTTAATTGTTTTCTTTACTTTTTTGCCCATTGATAAGTCATTGTCCATGGGGTCCCCAAAAAGACACCCCAAAAGCTAGGGGCATACAGCCCATACATTTATTCAAACAAACCAACCAAAGTGGAAACAAACAAAAGAGGGAGATGAACATAGTCTTTGCAGCAAAGGGTTAATATAGCTATCATTGCCCTGATTGGCACAACCCAACATCCAAGCCCAGCATGATACATGTCTGGCGTAAAGAGGAATAAAGCTGCCACTGTGCTAGACTCCAGCAATATATTTGTCCCCTAGAACTGTGGCCTCCCACCCCTAAGCAAAACAGGAGAATAAACTGATGCCCTGCAAAAACTACATAGGCTCCCAAAGTTTTGCCATATTCACACACTGGAACATATGGTATTTGTATGCGATACTGGCTTGACCTAAACAGAAATAAAAATTCAATGGTGAACCCACATAACATACAATTAGCAATCACACACCAATATGTTTGCCCTAAGTCTTGCCTCCAGAGGATGGGGGTGGCAGAGAAAACTTATTGCAGCAAAAGAGGTTTAATCGTCCTTTGCCTCACCCCCACACGCAGCCTGAAAGGGATGATGAGTGGGCTCCTCCCCCAACAGAGTGCTTCTCAGAGCCAGAGCTGCAACAAAATGGCAGCATCTTATGGTCAGTACCAGCCAAGCCTGGCTTTATGCCAGCAACCTGGAAGTAAAAAGTGTCCTGTCCCACTCCTAAACCACTGACCCATCCAGTGCACCTTTTTTCTTTTCAAAGCCTAAGTTGTATTTAATAGGTTACTCATTCCTTCTGACTAATAAATGTATCTTATGTTTCTTAATTAATGGCTCTAAGAAAAATGTTAGAAGATAGTCACATGTTTGTGGTATGGAATCTTACTCAAAACTCATTAAAATCATTCTTTAAGGAAGACAGTATTAATAAGATTGCTATGGAATGTATACGCTCTGACAATAACTGATTTCAGTAAGTATTGGAGTTGGCACCCCTTTCCCTTCTCAAGATGGCCCAGCTTTAATAAAGTAAATGTAGCAATTTAACAAATGTGGTCTATACAGCCATGGAACCATTATGACTTCATTTCCGCACTGCACTTTTTAAAGAATCTGACTATTTGCAAAGTCAGCATCCATTTTGTGAAACAAAATTCAAGTATCATGCTACAGAGAGGGCACACTGTGGCAGACTTTTATTCCTTCTCGTTTTGCTGTTCCATTCAATCCCCAAAAAGTCATTCAGACTGAGGTATAGGGCTGCTTTTCGTATATGGTAAAACAATATGATCTCAAAGGTTTTATTTATTTGTAATTCTTAGAGACTTCCACTCAATAAATATTGTTTACACACTGCATCACTTGATTACTTTCTCCTGTCTGATTCCTTTCAGTAGTGTCTAAACAACTTTCAACAAATGTTAATTTAGTTAATTAGACACCAAGAGACAGTACATAAAACAAATAATACATTTCCCTGAATGTTTTGTCTTTGCCACATTCAGGAAGACTTGTACGAAATAATTAAAGATCCAAGATGCATAAACTTGGAGGCTACACTGGGGAAAGTGACTTGAGAGATTCATGTAATCTTTTTCTTTGATCTTCAGCTTACTCACATCTTCCCTTTCTTCTATAACATCTCTAATTAGAAATTAGAAAGGAAAAAATAAGAGGCCAATAAAATCTCTTTTAGTAAGATTAACTAAGGAAAGAAGAGTTTCAAAAAACTCAGTTGAATATGCAGAAAAAAATACAATGTTCAGTGCAACCCCTACATTTCTCTGAGAAATATAATACATATAAAGCAAATATTTGACTGATATATTCCTAGAAGGAAAGTAGCATTATGCTTATATCATCCTACATTACCTCTTGGCTCAAGAGTATTACAGCTTAAGTATCATCAAACAAAGTAGCTGTTATAGTCATTGCTTTTTTGTATACAGCAAAGTCATCCATGTCCCTATTTTGATGCTTAAATGCAGTAGAACTTTTTGTGAATACTGAAAATAAAAACCTTGAAGTCTCACCTCGCTCCAATATATATATAGAAAAAGGTACAGGGAGGGAGTATGTTTTATATTTATTTTCTTTGAAGTAAAACTCAGAGTGCTACCAACGCACAGCAGATTATAAAACTAAAATGAAGAATTTAAGTAGATTTTGGGTCTTTTAATAAAATATTTAAATAAAAATGTACTGTGCATACCTCTTTACTAAACACTGATTAGCCCTCGATGCATGGTATCACTTCATTGTTACTTGAGTCTCCATGTTCCTCCATGCCATACTAATTTGTGATTATAGTGTCCTCTAACATCAGTCAAGATGATTGTGATTTCTTGGTTTTATTAAAAAAACTGCACTAAGGAGTTTGGAAAGCTCTGTACATATTTTTTAGGATCAGAAGATTAAAAAAAATCACAAATTTCCAGTAGATGGAAGAAAAAGTTACAGAAGAAGAATTTGTAATGATGAACATGATGACCGAAGCCTCTATTACAAACTGCACGTAAACTTTGTCTTCACTAGGAAAAAAGGTACGTTCTTACCTTGTGTGAGCTAACACATGTTAACTAACACAAGATCAAAGACAAGGCAAATGTAGCTGTAACATAAGTTAGTAGATTGAGGTAAACATTCCCCCATAGACTTTACCTTGACCTGCTATCACGTGTAAAAACTACAAACTGCCTTATCTTCACTAGGATTTTACCTTATGTTAGTTGCCACGTCATGCCATGTTAGCACTACTCTCAGAGAGAAACTTTTAACTTTGGCAAATTAAATGCAAAAAAAAAAAAAAAAAATTAAAATTAAAATGTAAGAGATTTAAGAGAAAGTGTTTATCTCAGCTCAAGGGGGAAAATGTAAAATAACTGGAAACCCATTTGGAGAAAATAAATGCCATTAAATTAAACCTGCTGCTGAGAAAGTAGCTGTACTAACAACCCTCGACAGGATCTCTAATACACTGTCCCCTATCACTGTGGAAACAGCATTTCTGCTTTATTTGGGCTTCTCTCTGGCAGGGACATCCATTCAGAACACAGCCCAATATTTTTGCATAAGTGTTTTTGATGTTTTATATTTATTTGCAAAGCAGCCTGTGTTTCAGAAATGACAAATTACTGAACAATAATTCAGGGCCGCCCAGAGGATTCAGGGGGTCTGGGGCAAAGTAATTTCAGGGGCCCCTTCCATAAAAAAAAGTTGCAACACTATAAAATACTATATTCTTGTGGGGGCCCCTGTGGGGCCCGGGGCAAATTGCCCCCCCCCCCTCTGGGCAGCCCAGCAATAATTTGTAGCAGCTTTTTCTTCATTTTGGAATGTAAAGTATTTCAAGACTATAACAAATAAGTACTGTTATTACTATGATTTCAATTTCATGACCTAATTTCAACAGACCATCTGTCCACAAAGCCCGATATAATTAAATCTATAGTCTCCATTCTTAAAGAATGTCTTTAAACCAATATTATTTTCCATATACTTTATTTAAACTGTATACCAATTTTCATTTCACACTTCCTCCCATGATATTTAGTCTTTCATTTTTCAATGAAGTATATTACAGTATATTAAGAGAGTTCTAACAATACTGTGTTTGTGTCATATTTACATAGGAATAAATCCTTGACACAAGTGTTATTGGTGGGTAATTGGGTGTGAGAAGAGCAGACTTGCCCATTACATTTTAATATATTTTGAAGTTTACATTGTGTTCTAGGTATTTTACTCATTTAACTGATTTCAGACAAATTCTTTTCTCAAAGTGTACCATAATATAACAAATGATCAAAGAAACACCTTGAATATTAACATTTGGAGGCATTTACTGTAGTATTTATCAAAAAGCACCCTAGTTAAATTAAAATGTATTAAAAAACCCTTTGTGTGTCTGAAGTAGATGGGTCAAATAACATTAACTGGAGTTCATATTTGATAGTTCCACATGTGTGCTACTTTGCAGCTTCAGGTAGCATTCATTTGCTTTGTATTAACAAAATTCTAAAATATAGTCTTACCATCACATCTAGTTCTTCAAGCCCCTGGTAAATTAATAGAGCTGCCTCTACATTTCTTTAAGTTTTGCATAAATTATTGATTCTTGTGTAAGGCTGGAGATCAGGAGACCAGAACATTAGCACAACTCACCAATAAAGTAGTTATTTCCTAATGCAAGCATTTCCTCAGAAAGAACTAGTCCACCCAGTGCCTGGAGGAGAGTAACGCTTCTACCATCTATAAGTGAGCACTGTTTAAATCCAACTGTTGTAACCTTCCACAACAGGATAAGAGAAGCCGTGGCATCTTGCCTTATTCTAGAGACATGAAGGATAAAAATAATTACATGTCAGATTGAAGAAAATCAGTCTTATCAAACAATACATCATTCTGGACCAAAATTAATCAACAAAAAAGAACGACTCAACTGTAGCAAATATACAATCAGAAAAAAAGGCTAATTTAATGCAAACACACTATTTGTATTATCAAAATACAAATATTTTTATTACCATGCAATTTTCACTGCAGTAAGGTTGGATACATGCACATTCACAATACAAAATCCTTTAACAGTAGGGTTTGAATAATGGTATATTTGAAAGCAGACATCATGTGCATTCTTAATTTCTAATCATTTAAAAGAACCATTTTCATGTCCAATGAACACTTTATATAACTTGACATAGCACAAAATCAGCATCCATATTCATGTACCATGCTCAGCATTCTATAAAAACTCCACGGCCCACCTGTGCTACAATAACTGGTTTTCTGCATATAAAAGCCAGGGCCAGCATTAGGGGGTAGAAAGTAGGGGAATTGTCTGGGGCTCCATACCACGGGGACCCCTGCAAAGCTACATTGCTCTGGCTTCAGCCCCATGTGGCGGGGCTCTGGGCCCCGGGCTTCAGCTTTTCTGCCATGGGCCCCAGCGAATCTAAAGCTGGCGCTGCTTGGCGGGGTCCCTGAAACCTGCTTGCGACCCCTAGGGGTCCGTGGATCCCTGGTTGAGAACCATTGATCTACTGAAATAGCCAGGGTTGAGTAAGGTAAAGTCACTTGGAAGCAACTACAATATATGCACTCAGTTCCACAGGATTTTAAATTTTATTTAGGTAAATACCATGCTTATAACTTGTTTCTATGGATCTGCCCTTCCTTTTAGTGTACTTTTTCCACTCCCTTGTGTACATGTATAATATGAATCTTTTCCAGACATCTGCATCAATTCACAGATGGAAGAATCCCAACTAGGACTGAGTGAACTTCCAAAGAACTTTCAAACATTCTATACAGTTTAGTATCCAAATGTTCAGAAGTTAGTCTGAATCTCCCTTGCCTAAAATTGGGCTGCTAATCTCTTGAGATCAGGCTCTCTTGAAGGATTTCAGCTACCTCAACTATTTCAACCATTCTAGAAATACAGTAAGAACAGCCTCTCCCAATTTTGCTTTCAGCTGAAACCAAGAACAGCAGAGGTGTGTGAACGTAATCCACATGAAGAGATCCCCTCTTGTACCTGGACTATTTAAGAATAAAATTTTGGACAAAGCTTTGGATTTTTTTTTTATCCCAACTGGTAGGCCCCTCACTAATAACAACTTCAGGTAACCTGAATATGAGAGCAAGGAATGTCACAATTTAGGTCAAATTCCATGATCAAAATCAGTGCAAGTTTACTAAAGTGATTGTTCTTACATAAATATATATTCAGGTCACATGTTCTACACAGGCCTTTTAACATAGGGAGTACAGTGAAATAAAGAAAATTAATTCAAGTGGTTGATAAACTGGAGTATTTCAGCTTGTAAACAGTGTAAGTATGTGCCTATCAGGGGCTGAACTGGGAAAAAGGTTGTGGTGCTCCTCCAAGTTTTGCCCACATCAACTGTCAAAGTGAGACGCTTGCTCATAGTAGATATCACAAATGATCAACATATGACTGTGTGTGCTCCTTGGATTCCTTTGAGATGGGCACCCCACACTGAGTTTTTAATATTCCCATGGACTCTACTGGACTCCTCAGGGTTGGCTTCTCAGATTCCTTCCTGGGCTCTACTTAGTACCTTCTTAATTTGAGGGGAAAAGTGGTAGTATGCTTCCAAATCCCACCCACATACAATGAGACATTAATCAGTGACTGTGCAGATCTGTGATCTTACCTCTCCTTTCTTACAGGCTTTCATGGGGAATGAAATAATTAACAATGTTGACATTTACATCATCGTCACTGGGTGTCTGAATTAACAACTCAGTGAGACAATTCGGGCAGTTCCCACCTTTCAGTCTCATTGTTCCAGGCTCCCTGCAGACTCAAGGTAGACACAGTTGCAAGAGTTTCACTCTTTTTTGCAAACATCAAAATAAGTCAAAACTTTTTTTTTTTTAAATGAAAGCTGTGATTCTAGAGCACAAGATGGCAGCACAAGAGTGGTGTCAGTGCGCTCTTTCAGGAGAAACCTAGCCTAAAACAGCAGGAATGTTGCAAACCAGAAGGGAGATACACTGGCAGATCCTTATTTGAAAGCTCATACTGTACACCTATGCTTCATCCCAGCCAATGCTATCAGATTTTGGCTTTCAAGGGAATCAAATTCCGTTCATTAAAATTACACAACTGTCAGTGTGAAAAAGTGGATGCTTTACACAACTTCAAACTCTTCAAAATCATATCTGCTTTGTAGGACACACACCTCTTCATAGAAGCATTCAAACTACTGATGTGAAGTTCAGACAAATATAAACAAATACATTACTCTGAATTTGGCAAAGGGAAATGTGAGCTGCTCTGGCTGTCAGAAATCATTGCTGCATGGAGTGAAAAGGAGGAAATGTTACACCCCTCTCCAAGTCAAACTGTTGTCCTCCACCTCTTTGCTCCAATTCCCAGTGTTCTCTGATGGCCAAAAGACACTTTACTTACTTAGACCCTCCTCCCCCTCAAAAAAATGCCCCACAACCAAACCGAACAAAAAAAAAACCCCCACTTAAGCACACATGTGAGCACTTGCACCCCTCGAAGAAGGTGCTCTGGTATTGCTAGGTCCCTCGTGTCATCTGGAGGCTCTCTGGAGTTCTTTCATGACATACCAAGGCATTTCATAGTCTGGCTGCCTAGGAGACAGTTGACTACAGCTCCCAAGACATGAATTCGGTACCAAACACTATTTAAATATTTATTATTCCAGGCTGCTATGACAAAGCAATATTCTTACTTTATTGATGTGTTCTGTGGAACTTCAAAGTAGATAAGCCGGCCTCCAGCAGAGTTGTTAGAACTGGCATTTCCACAAGCTACATCTGGGATTATCTGAAAACAGTAAAGATTGTTCTTTAAAGATTTAGTCCTTTAAAAGAGAATATAAAAAATTAGGGAAATTAATAAATAGGAAAAGAATATAAAAACCAGCACCATTAACCAATCCTGACCTTTTAAGAAATTGTCAGGACAGACATTGAAAGTTTCATCATCAATACACATTTGAGGTAATACACCTCTACCCCGATATAACACGACCCGATATAACACAAATTCGAATATAATGCGGTAAAGTAGTGCTCCGGGGGGGAGGGGCTGCGCACTCCAGCGGATCAAAGCAAGTTCGATATAACGCGGTTTCACCTATAACGCGGTCAGATTTTTTTGGCTCCCGAGGACAGCATTATATCAGGGAAGAAGTGTATAAGGTTCTATGTTGTCTTCAATTGTTCTGGAAACTCACCTTATGGGTAATGTTTTCAAAAACAGCAAAAAACCCCCTCTCTATAGCTCTACATTTTAGTGAGCACTTACTGTGAGAGGTGTCCGCCTTTAAAAGTATTACACTCGTCTTGAGAAAAAGATAAATGGATTTCTCTTATTGTCAAATACTAAATAAATATCTAGCGTTGCCACATGTCAGTGAACATGTGAGATCTTGGGGCATTTAGAACCAACAGCAAGAACTACTGTTCTCTTTCAACTACACTTATTGCATAGCTTATTTTTCCTTTTTAAATTCATAGCCATACTCTGCCACATGAGCCCAGCAATAACAAAGCCCTCGATCACTCTTTCCAATGACAGGAGGCTTTCTACAAAGTGAATGGAGCATCCACAGCCTACCTAGGGAGAAAATTCATGACTGCAGCTGTGATCTAGTGCTTGTGCTAAGTAACTGATTTCTCTGCCATCTATGCAGCAATTCCTCTATTCGCTAATCAGACCTTCTCTACCATACAACACTGGCAGTGTGATCATGGACAACATTTTTATTTGACCATGCAATGCTGGCATCTAAGTTCATGCATGTACACAGGCATTCATCTATCTATCCAATGATAGCAAATGTATTTCCAAAAACCATGAATAAGCCTCTTAGTCCATCTAGACCAGGGGTTCTCAACCTTTCCGGACTACTGTACCCTTTTCAGCAGTTTGATTTGTCTTGTGTACCCCCAAGTTTCACCTCACTTAAAAACTACTCGCTTACAAAATCAGACATAAAAATAAAAAAGTATCACAGCACACTATTACTGAAAATTGCTTACTTTCTTATTTTTACCATACAATTATAAAATAAATCAATTTGAATATAAATATTGTACTTACATTTCAGTATATAGTATACAGAGCAGTATAAACAAGTCATTCTGTATGAACTTTTAGTTTGTATTGGCTTCACTAGTGCTTCTTGTGTAGCCTGTTGTAGAACTAGGCAAATATCTAGATGAGTTGATGTACCCCCAGAAAGACCTTTTTCACCGTTTGAGACCAAACCATTGTTGCTACAGATCAACATAATGTGTGTGTGTGGGGGGGGGGGGAGAATCTAAAGTGTCTCTTTATATCATCATCATCTAGAGTATTTTTTGTGTATCCCTAACAGCTTGACTATGAAATAACACCATATGCAGTACAAAAAATGAGCCAATTTCTTTTCTACATTTGCCAAAAAGTAAGGATAGGTTTTATAGCCCATCTTGTTTGATAAAAAGCTTGTATAGAGCCTATTATGCTAGGTTTACATGATGCTTATTGATAAACTGAGAATGTTAGCTGAAATGCCTTCCAAAGAGTGAATCATCCTTCAAAGGAAGAGCCAGAATCCAAATTCTAAACTCATGTTTCATTCAAATCCCCATTTTGAATTTGACAATGAAGTATCTATGAAAAACAGAAGAAAATCCTGGAATGTTACTTAGGTAATAATTTTCAAGTAACACAAGTTCAATTTTGACTCATGTGGCCAATTAGTCACAATAAGCAAAATTGTATGTCTGG